TTCCACGAACTCTGCTACCGACATGACTGGTAAAAATGGTGTCTGACTAAAATGGTATAAAATAAAGAGTGTGAACTGTTATGTATCGTCTAATTATTATAACAGTAAACTCATCTCCCAAGAACATAGCAACTGGCGACGAGGATATAAAAAGTATTGTATAATACATATACTAGATATAAAACGTGACCACGCCGACCTCGTGTAGGAAATAAGATGGCGACGAAAGCAGCACCAAAATTAATGGAATTTTCACCAGAGACCGATGATTGGCAAATATATCTAGAAAGGCTGGAGCAACATTTTGCAGCTAACCAGGTAACGGAAGAAAATCTAAAAGTGGCCGTATCATTGAGCTCAATTTCGACTTCCACGTACAAGTTACTTAGAGACTTAGCATTTCCAGACCTGCCCAAATCTAAAACATTCCTTCAACTCTGTGAACTAATTAAATCGCAGTTCAGTGCACAAATAAATGTGTGGCGTGAAAGAAGGAAGTTTTATCAAATAAGTCAATCATCAGAAGAATCCATAAACGAATTCTACGCTAGGATGCGTAGTGCCGCGATAAACTGCGAATTTGGAGAAAATTTGACAGATAAAATCAAGGATCGATTTGTAACTGGAATGTGCAGTGGACGAATTCTGGACAGAATAAGCGAGGGGAGCACTACCAAATCATTGGAAGAAATGGTAAAATTAGCGGTTCAAGTTGAATCTGTGACGAGTAATATGGACAGCAGCAAGAGTAGCCTGAACTACGTTTCAAATGTCCCGCCAAGAAGCAATAAGCACCAGGTGAGGGAGGCTCCTTGGAAGCAATCCAGTGGCAGCAAGCCACCACAGAATGATGCGGAGAACCAGCTGAGACACAAGAATTCGGTCGGTAATGTAACTAGTAATAAATCTAGATTTCAAAATAGTAGATCCTCAAGTGAATCGTTTAATAAAAATTGTAAACATTGTGGTCATAAAAACCACCAGAGTGATACTTGTTATTATAAATGTGGCATATGTAAAAAAATTTGACATCTTTCGAAAATATGCTATAAAAATGATCAGAGAATTAACTATATTCATGAAGAAGATGAGTGTGATGATGAAAATTTATTTTATTGTACAACTATAGATGAAAACCAGGTAATGAATATTAATGAAATTGAGGTTAAAGATTCATTCAAAATTGATGTTTTGTTGAACAATAATATCCCTTTGTCCATGTTAATTGACACTGGCTCAGCAGTGGGTGCAATAAATGACACAACATTCAATTCAATTCAATTCAATTCAATTTATTCCTCTAATTGAAGTACATGTCATGATGTTAATAACATAATATATAAAAAAAGAGAATCCTAGATCTTGCAAAAGCCTAGGCAAAAATGCCTGTCTTGCTTTCTGCTCGGTCTCAGGATTTTCATGATGATCGTACATTTTGTGTTGTGTTGGAATAGTGAGTAAATTTATAAATAAATAAAATATATCTCTAAGAATTCTAGGTATCGGAATTCGAAAACTAACACAGTAGTAGATAATTAAATAATGGAGAAAATTAAATAATACAGAGTTAAATAATACAGAGTTAAATAATACAGAGTTAAATAATACAGAGTTAAATAATACAGAGTTAAATAATACAGAGTTGAATAATACAGAGTTAAATAATACAGTTAAATAATACAGAGTTAAATAATACAGAGGAGAGCAGATGACAGATATGTAAGGTAATTCATTGTCTGTTAAATTTTTTTCTTTCTTCATCAGTCGGTTTATATTTCTCCTGGTAATAATTTTTCTCGGTCTGTTCTGAGTCTAAATTGAGTTTAATATTTGATAGAATTTCGTTGGTGAGTTAAAAATGTGTTTTTTTGTTTCAGCTTTGTATTTCTTCATACTTGAAATTTGTTTCAGATCGGTTGGAATGGAGTTGTAAAATTTAGGACCAAAGAAAAAGAAAGATCTTTGTGTTAATGTTTTTCTGAATGATTGGATCTTTAGATCCTTGTTTGTAGTTGACCTCAAAATCCGAATACTTGTTAAGTTGAACTTGTCACGGTGTATATACATTCTTTTCAAGCATTGGTAAGCAAATATCAACTTGGTGTTCAATAGTTGCGTTTCTTGATATAGCCTATCAGTAGAAGATCTTTTGTTTCTCTTCAGAATTATTTTTATCAATGTATTTTGTGTTGTTTGCAGAATACTCAGAGTGGTGTTGAAAGTACCACCCCATATTGTGATGCAGTATGACAGAATAGATTCAGCTAAGGAATTATAGAGCATCAGAAGATTTTTTTTAGAAAGGATTTCTCGCAGAGTATAGAAATTGTACATAAGACTTCTTAGGCGTTTGTTTACGTGTGATACATGATCTGTCCATCGTATGTGTTGGTCTAAGATAACTCCTAGGTATTTTATTGAAGAAACTTTCTCTATTGAGGGGCATGCACACGAGTTTTGGTGGCAGTGAACTGAATGTAACTCAATGGAGAAGTTAATTGGCTGGTTAACAACTGTGGGTGTGAAAGCTACGAATTTAGTCTTATCAACGTTTAAGGTCAGTTTATTCGAATTTAACCAAGCATGTATTTTTTGTAAGTCTATTTCGGCTTCATGTTTAATGTTGTCCCACTTTTCTCCTGTGAAAATTAGAGCTGTGTCATCAGCATAACATATAAGATGTGCCTTGAGGCCATTTATTTTTGCGATGTCATTCATGTATACTAAAAACAGTATTGGACCCAGCACTGTTCCTTGTGGAACTCCAATTTTCACTATCGAATCCGAGCTTACATCCTCACCAATTTTCACTCTCTGAACTCTATTTCTTAAGTAATTTGACATCAGTTCCAGTGGCAGACCACGAATACCATAGTGACTCAATTTGCTGAGAAGAATTTCATGAGAAACTGTATCAAAGGCCTTGGCGAGATCAAGGAAAACTGCCACGCATTTTGATGATTCGTCCAAGGCTTTAACAGTTTGCTCAAGAAGATCCATCACGGCATCTTCAGTACTAGATTTTTCTATGAATCCATATTGCCTATCGGTAATTACTTTGTGCCTATGAAAAAATTCAATCAACCTTTTTTTAATAACGCGTTCAAATATTTTAGCAAAATTGTTTATAACAGAAATTGGCCGGTAGTTATTTGGATGGCAGCGATTGCCTGATTTGAAAATTGGGGTGATTATTGATTCTTTCCATTGTTGTGGAATTTTTCCACTTGATAAGCATAAATTGAGTATATGGATCAGTGGGTGGATAATATGTTCATGAATAGTTTTTATGGTTCCTACAGTTATCTTATCTGGACCAGGAGAGCATTTATTTTTAAGATTTAAAATATGCATGGTGATTTCATTCTCTGTTACCGGTTCTAGGAAAATCGAAGAGTCAATTTTGTCATTATTCGAGATGAAATTTTGTTGATTCGTTTTTGGTATTTTATTCGCCATCTTTATGCCTAGATTGATAAAGAAATTATTGAATATGTTCGCTTTATCTCTGTTGTTTGTGACTATTTGACCATTTTCATCATTTATTGAAGTATTGCTTATTTGTTCATTCGATTTTTTTTTACGACCTGTGATATCATTTATGACTGCCCAAATTTTTTTGTATTCTTTTCCTGCCTGCGTGATCTTATTTTGATAAAATTCGTTTTTTGTTTTTTTAATCAAAGTATTCAGTTTATTCCTGTATTCTTTGTAGTCTCTTTCAGTTTCAGCAGAGTAATTTTTCATAATATTTTTTTTCAGGCGATCCCTGTGTTCGATGGATTTGATAAGACCTACGGTAATCCATGGTTTAAGTTTAATATATTTTTTGCATTTCAAAATTTTAATATCAGTGCAATCAGTGATATGTTTATTCAGTTTATCAATAAAGAGTTCATAGGCTATTTGAGAATCATTTGAGCTTAGAACAGTTTCCCATTTTTCCTTCCTCAGAATATTCTTCAGTTTTTGATAATTGATGTTATTTATTTTGTGCTCCTTATCGACTTTGGTAGTTTTATCTTCTGGTAAGTAAACGTAAGTGAAGGGTGTAAAGTGGTCTGTCATGTCAGTTAGAAATATTATTGGTTCAATTTCTATTTCATTGACTATACTATTTTGCATTTTGATAAATATATGATCGATCGTTGACTTTGAAAATTGTGAAACTCTTGTGGGTTTGTTAATATAGGAAATAAAGCCATTTGAATTCATTATGTTCAAATAATTGTTAGTATCATTTGATTAGTTCTTCAAGATATCGATATTTATATCCCCAACATAAAACTCAAGATTTTGTTTTTGTACAGTATTCCAATATGTCTCTAAATTCTCCATATATTGTCTAACATCTGTTGCTGGTGGTCTGTAATATGCAGTCAAACCTATTGTAATTTTTTTTGTTAAGCTATCTATACTGCAAGTTGCTCTGAGAAATTTACTCTCATTATTTTGTTCAATCTTCACTTCTGCTGATGAGCTATTCTTTATGTAAATTATCACACCATCACATTTATTGATTGAAGATTCATTATAATATATACTATAGTTTGGAATGGAGAAATCATCCGTATTCTTTATATTTCCAGTCTCTGATAATACAATGATATCTAAGTAATCTTTTGCTTGTTCAATATATAACAATAGCTCGTTATAATGTTTCTGTAGACTTCTAATATTAAAGTGGACAATTCCCATACCATACCTTTTGCAGCATGCTCTCCTCTGTATATGATAACTTCGGAAATTATCAAAAATTTTTGTGTCAATTTCAGAATTTCTATCTAATACGTCCAAAAAGTCTATCATAGTACAACAATCAGAACTTTGGGGTCACCTGAAATACATATTATAGCAAATGCGAAAAAAGTAGTTATAAAATTGAATATACGGTAAAAATAATTTGAAAAACATGTCAAAAACATTTTGCATTTAGCTTCAGAAAAAAAAAAAAAAAAATTATAATTTCTCAACAGAATAATGTAATCTTCATAATGTTATTAATTTACATCAAGTTGTCGTAGGATGTTCGTGAAATCTTCTCTATTTTTGATAATATACACTTTATTGTTCTTATTGATATAGATTTTACCATTGAGGGTCCAAACGTTTTTAATTCCAAACTTTTCAATGGCAGTGTTCAGCTGTTTCACCCTTGGTCCAGTTAGATCCTCCCTAATTACAACCCCTGTGCCTTTAAGGAGCTTTTTCTTTTCATAAATGGCTTGTTTACTCTCCAGATTGCTCAGTTTCATGAAGATTCCTCTCGGTTTATTTTCTACTCTCTTACCAATCCTGTAGCATATGGATATATCCTGATCTGCCAGATTTAGCGACATTTTTGTATTAAGGATTTTTTTCACTTCTTCTCTTGTATTTTCGTTTGTCTTTTCCTTCAGGCTGAATATTCTTAAATTACAAACTCTGGTCGCTTGATCCATTTGGTCTATTCTATCTTCCATTTTATTTTTCATTCTTACTGTCGTTTTCATCTCATCTTCCATGGTTTTGAATTTATTTTCAAATTTTTCATTTAGGATAGCGAAATTTTGTTCAAGCTCCGCCACTGTAGATTCCATTTTAAGCAGTTTGTGATCTATTGTTTTTATTATAGCTTCCGTGACTTTGCTTACTATTTGATCGATAAGAAAATCACTTTTTATGGATTTGCTCACCGCTTGGTTAACTGCTGATTCAATTTCTTCACGAACATCTCTTGTTAGGACCATATTACTTATTTCGATTTCTCAGAAATAGGAAAACAGGATATCACTGTTTGCTATTTTCACGTTTTTGAGAATTTAACTTGACGCAATATCGAATTAATTCAATTATTTTCAGGAGCCCAAATGATAGTCGACTACTCACTACTCTCCATGGGCGTATCATATGCTAAATATTTTTCAAATTGCAGGATTCAACACGAAGCGATATCATTGAGAGGTTATGATGGAAGTACCTTTACTCCTCGAGGGTATTTGATGGTAGACGTAGCATACCAAGGACTTTCCAGACCTGTCAAGATCTTCATAGTACAAAATGGAGGTACAAATTTGCTCGGACGTGATTGGATCAAGGCATTTGATATGAGGATTGAGATGGTAAATTTTGTAAATAAGGAAGATGAGGTAAACAAATTAATTTGCAAATATTCGGAAATATTCAAGGATAATATTGGGAAATTCAAGTTTTTAGAAATATCATTGAAACTCAAACCAAATTCTATCCCTATTTATTGCAAATATAGAAATGTTCCTCTAGCTTATGTAGACAAAATTGATCAAGAATTAAATAAATTAGAAGAACAACGCATGATATCACCTATAGAAAGTAGTGAATGGGCAACTCCACCTGTACCAATTTTGAAAGAAGGGGGTCCTTAGAATTTGTGGGGATTATAAAACTACCTTGAATTAACACTCAGAAGATTTTAAATACCCTTTACCAAGAATAGAAGAAATTCATGCAAAGTTGAACAAAGGAGTTCATTTTTCTAAAATTGATTTAGTGAAGGCATATAACCAATTTCCTGTAAATGAGGAAACTAGTAAGCTTTTAACGTGGAATACTCATAGAGGTTTATTCAAAGTAAACAGATTAGCATTTGGAATAAAATCTGCTAGTAGTATTTTCCAGAAAAATGTAGAAAGTTTATTTCAAGATATGGACGGAGTCGTAAACTTTTTAGATGACATACTAGTGACTGGAAAAGACAACATAGAACATTTGGAAAATCTAGAAAAAGTATTTAGTAAACTTCAAAATGCAGGATTAACTGTAAAGAAAGAAAAGTGCGAATTTTTCAAAAATGAAATAGAATATTTAGGTCATAAAATATCAAAGGAGGGAATAAGAAAATCAGATAGCAAAATAAAAGCCATTGTAGATGCCCCAAGACCAACAAATATAAATGAAGTTCGTAGCTTTGCAGGTTTATTAAATTACTATCATAAATTCATACCAAATTCTGCTGATTTAATGAAACCTATTTATGATCTATTAAAAAAAAATGTGAAATTTGAGTGGACTAATAATTGTGACAAAGCTTTTCAATCTGTAAAGAAGGTAATAGCATCAGATATGTGCTTATCACACTTTGATCCAGATTTACCAATATATTTAACAACAGATGCATCAAATACAGGCATAAGTGGGGTATTATCACATTTGAAGGGAAATCAGGAACAGGTCATAGCTTGCGTATCAAGAACGCTTATGCCTAGTGAAGAAAAATACAGTACCATTCAAAAAGAAGCATTAGCTATCAAGTACAGTGTAGGAAAATTTTATCAGTATTCAATAGGAAATAAATTCATATTAAGAACAGATCATAAAGCATTAGTGACATTATTTGGGGAAAATAAAGGTTTGCCTCAAATGGCAGCAAATAGATTGCAACGTTGGGCAATGTATTTATCTGAATTTGACTATACTATCCAACACATACGAGGTGTAGATAATCCTTTAGCAGACTTTATGTCAAGAATGCCTCTAAAAATAAAGACAGATTCAGAAGAGTACACCGATAGGGGTTTATACATTAATTTCATAAATGAGTCAAGTTCATGGCCTATTGATAATGAATCAATTAGAAATCAAACCATGGTTGACAGTGAGTTGATGAAAGTTTTAGAATTTATCGAAAATGATAATTGGCCAAAAGTAGTTGAAGAAAATTTAAAACCATATTTCAATAAACGTGATGAACTTTCAGCACATGAAGGTATTATAATGTGGGGACATAGAATTGTCATTCCCAAGGTGTTAAGAAAATCTTTATTGAATGAATTACATGTAGGTCATTTTGGGATTGTCAGAACCAAAACTTTAGCAAGATCTTGTATATATTGGCCCAAAATAGACGATGACATTTGTAATCTGATGAAAAGTTGTATACCATGTTTGGAAAATAAAAATCATTCTCAAAAGAACGAGCCAATAAGCTGGCCCAGAAGTAACAAAGTCTTTGAAAGAGTTCATGTAGATTTTTTTGGTCCTATTGTCGTGTATGTATTTATGACGACCTTTCCAAAATATTATACCCCCCTTGAGGGTACTAATTCCATAGACTTAATTTACTTACTCGCTTGGCTTTGAGAGGGTTGTTGTTGAATTGTGGAACACAAAGAAATGAAGAGAGTATTTAAAAACATAAAAGAAACATGTTTATTCAATAAAACAATTATAAGTGTACTCACAATTTGGATACTAGGAGAACCATCTTCAATGGGCTCAGAGAACCTTTCCTGCTCTACGCCCGAAGTAGACTGACTTCCTATTTTTCATATTCAAACTACTCCAACCAATATTTCCCCCTCTGATGGTATATTAATTCATATATCTCAGCAGTTTTAGAATCAATGTATTTTACGTTCAATCTGAGTTCATACAGGTTATGGAAATATTAGTTGTAATAGGAAACTTTAGTTCCTGTCTAGGTATGCCTGTCATGCAATACATTGGATTTGAAATGAATGTTATTTTATAAAAATAATTATTTTCGATATACTACATGACATTTCTCTCCGGCCCATCGAAGCTGGACCCCAGCAAAAAAATAAGGAAAAACACTGAAATCTTAATAAAAAAACATATGTCAACATGTGTCTCATTAAACCAGTGATTGTCCTGAAGAACAACGTGTTGAAACTGAGTTTTAAAGGTTTACATGATATGAATATAAATCTTAGTAATAACATCAATCATTTGATAGAAGTGTATCTTTGCCAAACAAAATATCTAGCAAAATAATGAGTAAAACACTGAAATCATAATAACAAAAATAATATATGGTAATGTCAATATTGAAAAAAAATAAGAACAAAATCGGATAAAGAAAAAAACAAAAATGTGTAAAAAATCAAGTCTGACCACAAATTCAATAGTTCACTCGCACCCACTGAATCATAATGCACTCTATGATTGAGTCCGAACCTGCTCATTCCACGGTTGTTGTCGGTTATCCTTGTCTCTCCCATCTATCCTATCGACCATCCATCCTAGCGTCCAGAAATCAGCAACTATGAGCAGATTATTCAATGCTCTGCTTTTTTGCAAGACCAGGAGTTTCTGCTTACTCGACATATATGATTCTATGCCGTAAACTCATATCAGAATGATTCATGTTTTCCAGCCATTCGTTGTCGTTGAGTTAGGTCAAGAACTTGACCTAGTTCCTAACTTGCCTATGGAAGCTTTGCTTCTGCTGCTCTGTCATCTTCATTCGAGAATATTGGCGATCCTTGGGTTAGTTTTGTTGAACCTATCTATCTCGTAGTATCTGTCGTACAATAGGTAGGTATAGTACTCGGCATTAATTTTCCGAATATATCTCCATGCAGTAATCAGTCATTAACGAATTTGTCAAGAGCTGCTCGATCCACCCTTATTCGTACTAATGACTTGATTCATATTTACTAAATCCACCCTTCTTCGTACTGACGAATTTATCAAGAGTCACTAACTTCGCTCTGATTCGTAATAGGTGTATTTGTAATTGGTTGATGCGACTTCGATGACTAGGAACGTTTGGTTTCTCAGGACAATTCTCTGTCTCATGGAGTGTGATCTAGGAATCCGACTCGCCATGGTATGATGAGGTTCTATACTGGATGCCGATGGTGTGGTGCGGTTTGTGTGATGTGGTCCATATACATAAAAAAAAAACATAATACGCAGTAAATGCTAATTGGAATAGGTTCTCAACTTAGATACAAAACAAATTGACATAATAAATCCTTACATAAAAAAAATTATCGAACATTGATTATTGACATCTATACTGTCAATAGGAGGTATTGAACATATTTCCAATAATTCATTAGGTATATTTCTAAATCTGGGTTTAACATTAAAAATAAACATTCTAACTCATTCGTGTATGTTTATACATACAAAATAGGTTATGTGCAAGCAATTGCTATTTAAAATATTGAACAATCTGGCCATTATTGATTTTACCTTACAATTCATTTTATTTTCCACATTCGGAAAATGTATTACCATCTTTCTCATATCATTAATTGCATATAATTATCGTTTGTCATAATTTCATAAATTTTATTTTTTTCTAGATAGGGCCCTATCAATACTCAGTTATACCTGAATTTTCAATCGTAAGTCAACATATTTCACAAGTACCTATATTCATCATACTTTTCTCCTTCTATATTATATACTCATTGTGGTTTACTAACTTTACTTACTGCTAAGACATTTATCTGATATTTTTACGATAATATCAGCTTAAATCCCCCAGAGAAGTATTATGCATGCCTTTATTATCATTTAATTCATTATTTTTATACAGCTGTGTTTTCTACGATTCATTATTCATCTTGATCATCTATGACATGTAATGTGCAATCTATACGTTGCCCTGCTGAGAAAGACGATAAAGGTTCGTTCATTTCTAGAATGTATTGATTTGATTTTCGGGTATCTTTACTATACGCCTCTTTACTAGTCATTTCAAATGACTCTTCTTTCCCAGAACGTTTATGGTGATACCAGTTCAAAAATATTCTAATCGAAATAACTGAAATGAAAATTGCAAATGTTGTGCACATAGCCCAGAAAAATAAAGTATGTTCTGTGGGAACAAGTGTTTCCGCACGAACTTGGCCAGCTAAGCCAGGAAATATTGCTGAATTTGGCCTACCATTGGATAAAACATATGCTGAACCTACAGATAGAATGATGTTCCATAAAAAGAACAAGGAGTTTCCATGAGTTCCGTAATTATCAGAGAATGACAGGTTATCATTTTCTTCAAAATTTTCCAGCATTTCTTTCACAGTGTCAACAGTTGAACTCAGATTCAAATGTGGTACTGTGAGTGTCCAATTTGGATTCAAACATT